CAGATGCTCCAGACTTCCCTCCTTTTGAACATTTAAAGACACAGCCAACGTCTGGACTTAAAGTTCCATACATTCACAACGCAATTAGAGGAGGCAGTGGCAATAATATGCGGGTACTTCGGATGCCACTGGAGATGTACGATGGCAGCCGTGTGTGCCGCATCCGACATGACGGGAACTTGCTGCGGATCCCTCGGATCTTCCAGTGTCCAGACGTCCCATTTACCATCTTCTGCACCGATTGCAAGAAAATTGGGCTGAGACGGATTAAACTGGCATCCTCGCACTGCACCGCGATGCTCAGTAATGGCGCAAAGAAGCGGCTCCTCTGTGTTAGAGTGTGGGTTCAGTTGATAATTCTTCATCATAACGCTCGCATCGTACACGTAAACAGCACCATTGCAACACGCCACAGCAATCATTCCGCAAGCACTTCCAAATGAACACCAATCAACACGAAAGACCCGCTCAGGGATAAAAGTGCGAGCCACCACTGGCATCTCCGTCTCATCCGTCTGTGTAACATCCACAAGACGAATCTCTAAAAATGCCTCGTTGCTGAATTCCTCGTCCATCGCACCGGCCAAAGATGCCGCCGCAAGAAATGTTGGGGTTCCGAGATGACTGGGGGCCCACGCAAACGCGCACGACAAAGGGGTGCTTTTCAGACGCATATTGCTGGGAAGTCCTTTTCCCTTTTCTTTTCTCGTTCCTTTTCCTCTTTTATTCTCCTCCCAAGCCTGTTTTATAAACGCACCTGTCTCTTTTCCTCTCCTTCCAGGCTGTCGTTAATCGCCTTTTCCTTCGCACCTCCCTTCCTGTTTTTCCTTCTTTTTTTTTTTTACTCTTCTAAATTTCGGCTACCCGACGGATATCCATTGAAGTTTCAAATAAAATAATAAAAAAAAAAAAAAAGAACGCAATCCGGTGCATTTTTTCTCGTTCACTCTTCTCCCGCGGTAGAAGAACCATAATGTGACGAAAAGTAAAAATAATAATAATAATAATAATAATAAATAAATTTAAATAAATAAATCTGATCAACCATGTCTTCTTCTCGTCGTGAATACGCAAGGCATCGGTAACAAAAAAATTTTAAGGAACCTTGAATACACAAGCCTCGTAACAAACCACACACAAGCAAAAAAACGGATAAAGAGCAAACGGTAATAATAACGATATTGACAGAGATGGTCCATTGCGTCCTAGTCCTCAACACGCACCCAGCGGGTGACCATGCGCGGCACACATCGTACAGATGCAGCAGCGGCAGCACTGAAGAAGTGAAATTGAGGAGCAGGATGAATTTTGGCGTCCCGCTGTGGCGGTCCCATTCATTTGACCCTCCGTTATGTGAGGGACACGGCGAGGCGGCAACGCGGCTAGCGAGACGCGGGCTCTGGTCGCCGCACATGGCACATTTGGGTACGCGTGACGCAATATGTCGGCCAGCGTCACCGATCCACTCTTCGATCGGTCCATGTACTTTGCAAAAGGAACCGACAGTGCGATGTCAGCGATTTCCCACTGCACGAGAGAACGTCGTCGTCCAGAGAGTACAAACTTCTCCAACGCATTCGCTGGTCGTGGAATGCGCTCGTGGCCCTTCGCTCGGGCCGCCAAAAACTGTCGCTGTGCAGCATCCATCGCTTGTATGGAGAGTGAGCCCAAGTGAAATTCATCCAACTTTGAAAAAGCCTGCAAGTAACCCTGAAACACGTGCGTCGAAAAAAACGTTAATTCACACCGGCGCAGCGTTTGTAAGGTGACGCACGGGTAAAGCCCCTCGAGCAGCTCCCGAAAACCGAGCCGGTCGATGCCACTCACTATCTTCTGCCAAAGAAAAAGACCATGTGGTACACGCACACCACCCAAAACCCCCTTGGCTGCATTCAACTCCTCCATGGTAAGTTGAGCTGCACCGGCAGAGGTAACATTTTCCCTTCTTGTCTGCTCAGGTCCTCCAACTGCAAATTGACGCATGTCGTCACACTCACGTGAAGCAATATGAAACAACGCTTCTTCCTGGAATCCATGCGTAAGGTACAAAAATCCGTCCTTCTTACTAGAAACCATCCCCGCAAGTACTCCACGCAAACGAAATAGCTTCTCCAGCGGTAATTCAAAAATTACATGGCGTTGAATGTCGGCCTCGCCAATATGAGGAAAAAAACCTCGAAGAAAGGTCACAAAATCCAAATGTACAGTCGGAGAAGCATCGCGTGAAGATGCGTAAGAGAGCGGAATTGCCTTGAGGATGGACTGCAGTATAACCTCTCTCGACGAAGACGACTCAAGGGCTGCAACAAGCTTCGAAAAAGGCACCTCTCCTGTACACATGGCATCCAGATGATCAAAGCAGCGCTCCGCACGGCGTAATAACACAGGCGGTATCTCTCTTACAAGTTCATGCGCCATGTACAGAGTCCCAACACTGCATCCAAAGGGACTTTCAAGTTTCTCAAGGGGCCTAACCACACCTTCATCAATGTATCGACTCAGCGACGGAGCCTCATGCGTCGGGTCGCTACTCACCGTCTCCCATTTGCACTTATCCCCGTGCCATTGAGCCCGTACACATCGCCTAAAATTGCAACGCGTACTTTGATTAAATCGATCTCTCGTTTCTAGAAACGTCGAGATTCCTTCACCCGAGCGACGGCCGTCTACCCAGGATCCCTCAAAGACATCCCCATTCTCGTAGAAGATCACCCCACGTCCATGCTTTTCACCTCGAGAATACTCACCAACGTAGATGGAGCCATTGCGAGGGTAATACGTCACTCCACGGCCATGAGGTCGCCCCTCGAGAAATTCACCAACATATACCTCCCCCGACGGGAAGTGTTCCACACCATGCCCCTGGGGTAAGTCATCCTCAAATTCACCCTCGTAGGTATAACCACATGAGGAATAGAAGGCACCCATGCCGCATCGATAATTGTTCACCCAGTTCCCAACAAAGAATCCTCCATCGGCAAAGTACATACTACCGGGACCTTCCTTAATACTTCTTTCCTGCAAACCACTGGCGGATGCAGACTGGCGATAGTGTCCTAGAAACACATGTACCGCCTTCCCCGACGCAAATTCGGTCCCTGCAGTTGCCCGCACCTCATCTGCGGTATAAGGTCTCACTTCCCCGGCGTAAAGAACCGCTGCACGTTTCTTAAACGAGTGTTGCTCACCGAAAGCCCCACTGTCATCTGCAGAGACTAAAAGGGAGATGGGCTCTTCAATAACGGACTTGACGTCAGATGTGAGAAAAACGGCAGAATTTGTTGAAACTGAAGAACCTGAAAAAGCCGGGAAGTTGAGAGAAGAATCGCGCAGCCCTGTTCCACGCGCGTGGAGGGCAGGCTTGACAAGATTCATCTCCCTCCGTACAGACCCGGCCCCTCCTCTCGTGTCACCTCAATCCCGGTAGCAACAGCCCTATGTGCCAAAAAACAAAGTAAAAATAAATACTAAAAAAAGAAAAATGGAGGCATGCGTCTCTTGCAGTAAAGACCATTAACGGAATTCATAGAAAACCACAAGAACCGACAAACCTAGAAAAGAAAAATGATAGACAAAAAGTCTTCCTTTTTGTTTTTATTTTTTATTTATTTATTTTTTTTTTTTACTTGAAAAATAATAAAAATAAAACAAAATGAAGTCTGTGTGCGTGTTGCATCACGTTAGGAGAGGTCGCCCAGGCTCCAGCTGTCAGGTGCCTCTCAGTGGCGCTTGGGGCGAACGGCCTTGCGCTGGAACGTGATCTTCGAAGAGCGCTCCTTCCGGGCGGCTCGCACCTTCTTCATGTGTTCCAGCGTGGATGCCATCTTACGCGCGCGGCGGGATGCTATGCTTGCCAGGTCAGGGCGGACAGCAGCGACGGCCTTGCTCACAACAGAGGCCTCCACGCCAGCGTCCATCACGGCCTTCTTGTACATCGACTTGGGCTTGTTGCCCGCCTTGCCGTCCTTCGTCGTCACAAGAATGCGATCGCCCTTCGTCTTCACCACGGCAGCCTTCGTGTTCAAAAAGCCGGCGTGGCGCTTCGTCCAGTTCGCGTTGTTGTTGAAGGGATCGCTGCTCAGACGGATGCCGTTGCGCTTCTGAAGAAACTTGCTGTTCTGGCGAACCACCAGCCACTGAAGATCCGTGGAGTGCGTCATGGTTCCTCACCCACTGCAAGAAATAAGCAAAGAAAAAAAAAGAAGTGGTCGATGAATGAAGAAGCAAACGGCAGTGAGTGCGCGCAATAACAAAAGGAACTTTACAGACGTCACTCTCCAACGCCGCCAGACTTCACCCAGCCTGAACCCATCACAATCTTTGCAAGCACACAAACACAAAAAAAGGCAAGGACGACAGTGACAGACACCAACGACAAAAACAACAAAATCAAACAACCAAATTTCCCCCATGGCAACAACTCCCACAATCAAAAACGAACTTTCCGGCCCTCAGCATTAATATTAGGAAAAGGTTCGCATACTCAAAAACGTGACTCGCATCCATAGACGCAAGGAACGACGTATCTGCTGCGCCTCAGAAGAACCATCTCTGCCTTGTAAAGCCGGTTCACAATCTCTGTTGCGTACTGCAATGGCACACCGTAATCGTCTGCTTCGCGTGATATACCCGTTTCAAGAATATCCGTCACCAAAGAAAGCATGGACACGCGATGCGTGGAGGTCCCCCAAAACTTTGCGGCTAGCCAGAGCGCCGCCAGATGCTCAATTGCCATTTCGAACCTCTCCAATAGCGGAGAGAGCAGATCAGCCGCCGTGACATTCGCCGCGTCGTTAAGAGGCCCAATCAAATCATTTTCGTCTCCACCAGCCAGTAGAGCATCCGCCGACCTAATGATATTCTGCTGCAAAGATGTTCCCTCCGAAAAAGCTAACACACTAAAAAAGCATTCTCGCAGTCCCACGGGCATGCCAAAAATCTCCACGCAAAACCTGCTTTCTTTTTTTTTTTTTTTTTTTCAGTGAAAGACAATATGACAAAAAAAAGGGAGGAAAGAAAAAAAGGGGCAGGTTTAAACCCGCATTTCGCGGATGAGGACCGCCCAACGCATACCCCAACATTTTAGCAGAAAAAAAAAACATAAAGATACAAAAAGAAAAACAATATATGTATTTATGAAAGAAATATAAAAATAAAACGAAATGAAGTCTGCGTGCGTGTTGCATCACGCTAGGAGAGGTCGCCCAGGCTCCAGCTGTCAGGTGCCTCTCAGTGGCGCTTGGGGCGAACGGCCTTGCGCTGGAACGTGATCTTCGAAGAGCGCTCCTTCCGGGCGGCTCGCACCTTCTTCATGTGTTCCAGCGTGGATGCCATCTTACGCGCGCGGCGGGATGCTACGCTTGCCAGGTCAGGGCGGACAGCAGCGACGGCCTTGCTCACAACAGAGGCCTCCACGCCAGCGTCCATCACGGCCTTCTTGTACATCGACTTGGGCTTGTTGCCCGCCTTGCCGTCCTTCGTCGTCACAAGAATGCGATCGCCCTTCGTCTTCACCACGGCAGCCTTCGTGTTCAAAAAGCCGGCGTGGCGCTTCGTCCAGTTCGCGTTGTTGTTGAAGGGATCGCTGCTCAGACGGATGCCGTTGCGCTTCTGAAGAAACTTGCTGTTCTGGCGAGCCACCAACCACTGAAGATCCGTGGAGTGCGTCATGGTTCCTCAGGATATCGGGACCCTTCACTGCGTGTGTGAGTGTGCATAAAAAAATCAAGAAAAAAAAAGCGCAACACATGAGAAGTAAAAATCAGCAGAAAAAAACGCCCAAAAAATATCCATCAGAAAGCAGCCTTACCGGGTGCAGCCAATAGATACGCGGCGCCCGTCAAACCCTTCACCATTTTTAATTCAGGAGGGATTGTTTTTTCTTAAAAAGGTGTCAGCCACCGTCGGCCAAGAAGAAAAAACAACAGGAAAGTATTTAAATACTCTTCAATAGGTCCTAGTTCTCTTTGGTCTTTGTGTTCCTGCATGTAAAAAAACTATCGCGGTGTGACATACACACACAAAAAAAAAAAAGCCTTGTAAATTGTGTAAAAATAAAGTGAATGAAAGAGGAAACGAAAGAACATTCCGCAGGTGAGAAAGATGCAGTCGGCACAACAAAGCAAAAAACAAACAAGCCGTGAGAATAAGTTTCAAGGCATCTTTCACTTACATATACAAAAAGAGAGAAAGCTATATAACCACAAACGAAACAGGAAAAGCAAAATAAATAGGAAGAAAAACCCACAAAACAAAGGTCTCCCTTTTAGATCCCTCATTGTGTCGTGCCCTTCATACATACCCATTTCATTTTTTGCATCAATGATGCATGTATTCCCTGACACTCCTCTGTTTCGGACGCTGCTTCAACTCACTGAAAGGGGGCTTTTGCTGTGGATCACAGCACTCTTTGCCTCATTCGTACGCTATCGCCACGTCATGACTGTCCTTCCCCCTCTTCTCCCTGCCCTTTCTTTCGTGTTGTACTGCTCATTTCTTCATTCTCCTTTTTTTTTTTTTTTATTTGCTACAACCAATATCGTCGTTACACCTCCCTCCCGCGTAAATAGGAGTAAAATTTCAATTATTTTCTTTGAGTCCCTCCTCATTCCCCCCACCGAATTTTTAATTCCCCCCCCCCCCTGTTTGATTTTTGTCCTCCTCCACCCTCGAGCCAATGTTTCCTTGAAGCGTGTGAAGTTTCTCCGCTCCCTCTCTCTTCGCTGGCCCCTTTCAAAGCACATCTTTGGAACACAAACAAGTAAGGGGGATTCTACACTTTTCGCCCGTTTTTTACAATGTTGCCCCACCTCCCCGGGCCTCAGCGTGTGCATCGCCCCCCATCAAAAACAAAATCATCCCACATACCCCTTTCCCACACAAGCACATACACAAAAAAAGAAAAAACCTTGTTATCGACGTTTTTCCGGTTGTTTTTTAATTATATCTTTTGCTTCCCTGACCCTTAATGTCGCGTTAATAACGGCCTCTGGGTCACGAGGGCAATTTCTTCTTGCGGGTGTACTTCACAAGACACTGATTGAGCGTGGGGCCAACGACCATCGTGTGGTAGTCAGGATCTGGAACCTCGTCCCGCAGCAACTGGAAGTCGTATTCACGGAAGGCGGTGGCAAGTATGGTTTTTACTTGCAAAAGGGCAAATTTCTGCCCAATACATTTGTGCACACCCGCCCCGAAGCCAATAAAGGCACCATCAACTTTTTCATCACGCTCCGGATCCCACAAACGTGGGTTTGGAAAGGCCTCCTCGTCATGGTGTGAGAGTAACGGTGAACAGGCGATGATGTCACCTTTGGGAACAACATATGAACCAACCTTGACCTCCGCCTTTACCATGCGCATGACCATCAGGAGTGGAGGATCACGGCGAATAGATTCACGAACGCAGCGTTCAGCAAATGGCATTTCATCCATGACATTGTCATAGTTTAATTGTGCAGGGAATTCGTCAATCTCCTTGTGCAGCTTGTCCAACCACTTCTTGTTCTTTGGATGCATCAGATGTAGCATGGACCAGCTGGTGGTGATCGTCGAGGTGTGCTGGCCTGCAAACATAGCGGCCACAATCATACCGCACACCTCATGAAGCGACATACGGGTGCCATCCCGGTACACAGCCTTAAGAAGTCCACCCAAAAGATCAGAGGTGTTGTTATCTTTGCTCGCCTCCTCCTTCTCACGAGCAACAATAATCTCGCCCAAAATTTTCTGGAGTTCTGCACGGGCCTCACGGCAACGAGCCGATTGGGGAAGGGGCAAACGCAGCAACCATGGCATAAAGACGGCTGCGGGGATCAGGCTGCTTTCCATCTTAGACAAAAGCTGTGCAAAATGTCGGGCATTTAGGCGCTTACGAAGATCCTCGCCAAAAAGACACTGGCATGCCGTGTTGATGATCATGGCACCGCAGTCCTCCAGGAGGTTAATCACCCCCTCATCTTTTTTCCAATTCTCTGCCATGAACTTGCGGACCTCATGCTGGATTGCAGGGACAAAGTTCTGAAACTTCGCAATGGTCAACTCCTCCGCAAGAAAGTTCAGCTGCTCCCTCATCCTTGGGTATGGCGCAGAGTAGGCAACGCCCTCCCCGAACACTGGAGTCATAATGGTGTACACCTCACGTGGAGAAAGAATCTCATTGCGAGGCGAGAAAAAACGACTGTGTTCGTGGGGATCGCCCACGATCGTCACGCGCTGTCCCCCAATGCTGATGGTGAAAACACCCGACTTGAGTTCACGCTTGCATCGCTGCATAAACTCAAGCGGGTTCTTGCCAAACTGCACAATGTGTCCCAGAAACGGCACCGTAACGGGGTAAACCGGTGGGTCAGTAGGACGGGTTGTGTTAAATGACTTTACAGAGTACACCGAGTACAGGATGAGAGCCGTAAGGGCCAATACAATGGCTTCAATAAACATTTTGCCGTTGTTGTTCCCAAAGTGTATGTGTAGGCGTAATTTTTCTCGTAATATTAATATATTGTTTTAAAGGGCTTTTATTTATTTTTTTTTTCCCTTCCGGCTTGTTTTTTTTTTATATCTTTTGCCTCGAGGGTTTTATATCTCCTGCCAGCTGATCACTTGGCTTCACTCAATTGTTTATTATTATTATTATTATTGTTTTGTTTTCCTTCCTTCTTTCTATGTGGAATAAATATTCTGATGTCTCCTGCCCACCCCCACCCCGGCCGACATGTCAGAAAGAGCGTCACAAGACAGAGTAGTCAGTACGGCAACGACGCAACAACAGAGGTGAAGGACACAAAACACGCAAAAAAAAAAATAAATAAATAAATAATAATAAATTCAGGCTGGAAGAAAGTGAGAGATATGACGCCACGGAACAAACACGACGGCAACAAACGACGCACTACACACGCACACACGCACACACAAAAAAAAAAAAAAAAATCTTAAAGCGTTCGATGCTTCTATTCGCAAAAATAATAATAATAATAAACAAGAGGGGGCACGGGGAAGTGACGAGAAGTCTGTCGGCTTTGCTACCAAAAAAAAAAAGAAATGCAAGCAGAAAAAAAACGTCCACACAAATATTTATGTGTCACGTCAACGGCAAAACGACAAAAAAAAAAAAAAAAAGAATTTTTCATGCGAAAATACAATAGGGGGATGCATATAGAGAAAGAAAAAAAGCCCGCAACGCCCGCCTGAGTTAACATTTACATATCTCGTGCCGCCATTGACAGTGCGAGTTCTCCGCGCCAAAAGCAAAAAAAAAAAAAAAGGGGGAAAAAAAAGCGAAAAAAAGAAAACGGCTTGCTCCCTCTATTTCTCCACTTCTTTCCCCTCCTATATATATTTATTTATTTTCCCCCCCTTTCTGGCACCATTGAAGACAGGCAACAAGGTGCAGATACGTAAAAAGCCTAGGGAAGAAGTACAGATAAGGAGCAGCCAGCGTTTTTCTCAAATGTTTCTTTTTCAGCAGCCAATTGAAAAAAAAAAAAAAAAAAGCCCCCATTCACCATCACCCCTCCTTTTCCAAGCATACAATGTTTTTGGTTTGCTTGTTTGTTTTTAGGGTTCTCTGACTTCATGCGCATGAAGCTCCTTACCAGCATCGGTGGCGGAAGCAACTGCATGAGGATCTCGCATCACCCGCCGCCGCTGAATAAGATATTCAAAGGTTGTCAGCCCGAGGCGATGCAACATGATGTGAAAGCCAAGCAGGTGCAGAAGTGGTGGCACTGCCAACAGCATGAGTACACAGAGTACAATAGGGCCAATGCGAAAGAACAAAGAGTATGGTGACAGATACGACCACCACCTGGCTAAAAGGACAACACCGGAGATGAACGCAAGCAACATGCTGAGAGCCGAAGAGACGAGAAATGCAATAAAGATCCGGTAGTTTTTCTCTCCAATGCACATATTCAGCCATTTGCAATGGTGATCAAATCCACTGATGCACTTGTTGCAAGCCTTACAATGCCTTGCATCCGAATGTGTGAGCCGCCGACAATAAGTACATGGCTCCCCCTCATTCGATATATCCCCGTTCTCTCGAAACGAAATAACAGCCCATAATATACATGTTGACAAAATAGCGGAGCCTGTCAGTGTCACAAGCACCACCATCTCCGGCAAACAGTTCGAAAATCCACCGCTACGATACAGTAGGACGTAGGTCGGTAATATAGAAGCCCAAAAAAGTATAGTACTAAGAGCCGTCAAAGTCAAAGCAATTATCTGCAAAAAGTGAAGCGGCCACTGAAACGCGTGCCGTCTCGGACGATTACACTGCCAACCATCAGGGTTGGAACGATCTACACAACAGGAAGCAAATGGGGGTTTAGAGTATCTAACCATAAAAGATGACAAATCACTCTCCGTCTGGGAAACTTGAAAAGAATTGACTGTTTCCTCCGTTGGAGAAAAACTACCACACGAGGATCCACGCGCTGCCCGCAGTATAATCTCTGGAGATGAGGAAATAAACTGCTGCGGGGAGCCAATGTACTCCCCCGTTTCCATTGGAGGAATCAAATCTCGATCACATCCCGGGCTCGAAATCTCCCGTGGACACTCCTGTTGTTTCTCTGCGGCCATCAATACACAGAATTCCTCGGCAAGAGATCCCTTTGGTTCGATTTGCGGGAAAAAGATATCATGCTCACGAGACATAGAACCTCTCGCTGCCAAGGACTCTCCTGCACCATTCATGGTTACCTCCAAACCCCCGGACTCATCCCCTTCTTTTGATCCATGCCCGCATAACTCTACACGTCTGTGTGCTACTACACGGAAGGGCGACACCGCTGTATCCTCCGTGTAAACGTCACTGAAATGGACACAGTTTGGAATTTGTTCAGTGCCGTCACCATCAAAAAAAACGCTCTCTGGTGGATCTTCCGGCCGAGACACACACCCGGCCGAATGCCGAGCAATAGACGACATACCAGCCACCTCCAACTCTCCTTTATCAACATCAGACGCTTTAATAGACATCACACTACGAATTCTTTCCCTCCTTTTCCTTCTTTTCTTTTTTGCTTCCGCCTTGTCTTGCAAAAATTGCCGCTCTATTCCATCTTCATTGATCTGCTTCTGCTCACCGGAAGAAAAGGCTTCTACTGCATCCGTTATTGACTCCGGCCTGACACCGCTTACCACGCTTGCTGCTGCTGATGGCACCAGTTCTCTCGAGACCTCCATGGAGTATCCACCCTTCCTGCTGTGAGCGCCTTTTTGGTGCTTAAGTTGCATACTTATCCCTAATTCACCGTCTGCACCAGACACAACGCCATGGTCATCCGCCTTGACGTGGAAGTTGTCGTTTTGATGACATCGAGAGTATTCTCGCTGTTGCTCCTTCTTCTCCCCCACTTCCGCTATTTTCAATTCGACCCTGTTATCACTAGGCCACAAACTCGACTGTCGGCCGCTACCGCCACCACCACCACCACTAAGAGTGCTGTGAGCGACGTTAGTGCCCGTGACACGCAGAATGGAACGTGAGTGAGCGAGCGACGCGGAGAAGGAATGCGACGAATGGTTTGCGATCTCCTCCACCGACAACTGCCGTAAAGATGCTCCCAGTGAAGTGAAAACCCGCCATTCCGTGCTGTTGTTTTGTGGCATCGGTGCACCGCGCTTCCTCTAATCGGCGGAGTCACGCCCCACGGCTTCCTATCTTACTTAAATGTTTCAGAGCCGCTCAGTTTTTTCCCCCACTTCCTTGGGATGGAAATATACATAAAACCACAACCGCACACACAAAAAAAAAAAAAAAAAAAATTCAAGCAGGCTCACGTACCACACAGACAAAAAAGAAGCACAAAATGCCATTTACTTTTACTCACCCACGCGCTTCGCCAGTGCCGCGGCAGCGGCGGCAGGAGCAGCTCTTGCCCAATGCACACCAAGCGCCCACCGATGTGCAAGAACAAAAGAAGAAGAAAAAGAATGAACGGAAAGGGGTGCACACGCTGAGAAAACACGCCAAAATAAATAGTAAAAGACGTGAAAAAAAAAAAAAAAGGATAATGATGAATGATGGTGGTGGTGGTGAGTTTAGACGAATACCAGGAACCCCTCATTGTGTAGGACCTTAATGAGTATAACAATAAGAAATTCCCCTTTCGGTGCGGTTTTCCCTTTTTTTTTTTTTTCTCTTGTTTTTTTTTCCTTTTTTTCGTTTATTTTCTGTCTTTTTCCACTGTTTTTGGTAAGCCGTCTCCTTCTTCCCCCCTCGGTCCCCGTACTTCCTTCCCTGCTGTCACCTCATACATACCAGCCTCCCTCTTCACCTGTTTGTTCGCATCATCCAATGAATAACAAACATACCCCACCCGCTGGTAGAAGCGCACACACACACACACACATACATACATACATACATGCAAAGAGGCAAAAAGCAGCACCCTCATGATGCCCCCGCCTGAAGCAAACAGCCAGCTGTCAAAAAAAGGCCAACACACACAAACAAAAAAAAAGGAAAAAAACGGGAATGCCGGTGTAAAGCTGAATTCACAGGGTAAAACACTCTTTTCCCGCCTTCTATATTGTGTGTCCAATTAAAACGCAACACGCACACAAAAATCGTATCATCCCTTCCATCCTGTACTGCTTCTGCCACTGTTGCCGGTGTTCTTTATTCCAGTGAACAGATATCCATATTCAAAACCCTTTTTTGTTCCTCTCATTTCCCCTCGTCCTTTATCCTTTTTTTTTTTACTAAAAATTCTCGTACCTCTCAACTTTTAGGTGTTTCTTCGTCCCTTTTAAATTCATTTAATTAGCGCCCTCCATTCACCTCCTTTCATTCTTCAATATGTATTTCTTTTTTTTTTTCTCTGCTTTACTTCTTCCGTGCCCTTCCTCTCCTGCTCATTTCTTCTTCTAAGGGGCGTGTTATAATCTTTTCCACTTTTTTTTTTCTCTTTTTATTGGGTTTCATTTTTTTTTTTCTTCTCCTTTTCATCTTGTTGTTAAATCCCATCTGCACCCCCCAATCACACCGCAACACATCTACGCACAAAGACATATACATGCATACATGCATATATATAGAGATAGATAGCGGTGTTTAACTGCATACACACACACACACACACACGCACAGAGAGAGAGAGAGAGAAGGTGCGGAGCGGACGCACTAAAGAGGGAGAGGGAGGAAGTAGAGGAGGGTGGGGCGGTAAAGAAGGAAGGAGCAAGAGATGTCTATTGCACGTGTGTAAACCCAAAACCCTCTCAAAAGAGGCAGCGAAATTTACCTTCAGTCAATCGTCGCGTGTAAATGTCTTGTGCCGTAAATTCATCAGAAAGTGATGATGATGCCTTTAAAAAAAAAAAAAAAAAAAAAAAAACATCTCACTCTTGTTTTATGGAAAAAGGAATAAAGAAACGCCCTGTTTTCTTTTCTTCCTTTTTCCTTTTTTTTTTTTTTTTTTTATTTACCCCTCGTTTCCTTACACACTGCCATCCCTTCTCGCCCTCTTTGCCCCCTACTTCTTCCTTCTTTTTTTTTTTTGTTTTTTTGGCTTTTTGATTTTTTGTTGTTGTTGTTTTTTTACGCGTTTCAGCTGAATTTAACCCTGGCGGCCACCCCAACATCAGAGTGTTACTGCAGCACAGGGTGTTCCGCACGCTTATGCCAACTTCTGCTTGAGGAAGCCGTAGCCCAGGTCCTTGCCCTCCTGCTGGAGAATCTCAAAGTACTGGTTGATCATGGTCACAGCCAACAGAATACCCGTGCCGCTACCAATGGCACCAAGAAAGTCCGCAAAGATAGTGAGCGCCCCAACGCAGAGTCCGCCGAAGCTTGCCGCAACAGGGATGTACTTCTCCAGCAAACGTGCCATGTCCTCCTCGCTCTCACGAGCCTGCGCAAGCCAGCGGCCCTCTGCCACGAGTCGTTTTGCCACGTCACGCGGACCAGTGTGGCTGATCGTCACCCAAAGCTTCGAGAAGATAGCGCATGAGAAGAGAATGAAGACGACATAAAATATGCCGTGGATGGGGTCATTCAACAACTCATATAGAGTGGCAGGAGGCGTGAGGTAGTAGGAGAGACCACCGACAGGAAACATCTGTCCGCTCTGACTGTACGCACGCTCTTCCCAACGGCCAAGAAGGTTGATCAGAAAGTTGTGTTGTCCAAAGCGACGCGAGAGAATCTGAGAGAAGAAGTTGATGTTTGACACAACACTGGCTTGCAGAATAATTGGCATATTGCTGGTGTAGAAGAGCTTGATCATATACGGCTGACGATCGGCAGCAGCATGACGTGATTTTGTCATGAGCGGCACACGAAATCCCTGGAAGAAAACAACCACCGCGAAAACCACAAGTGTGGCAAAAATGTTCGTAAGATTTGGCAACTGTGGACGGTAAAAGGCCTCCTTCAGTGCCCGCATCTTGTCGCTCCGTGAAACCAACAGGTGAAAAAAGGCAATGATGGCACCCTCAAACTCCGCCCCGCGGCCCGTGTTGATGGTTGAAGGGGAAAAGCTCTTCCAGATAATGGTGTCACAGATGTTCGTTGCTATGAAAAGCGACGTGCCAGCGCCAAGACCCCACCCCTTCTGCAGCAGTTCATCCAAAAGAATACAAATGAGTGTGGCCAGCATGAGTTGCAGAACAATGAAGCCTGACATGATTGTGCCAATCTCCCGCACATCGCCGTACATGCCGGAACTCACATACGCCATGGCCTCCACAGCAGTAATAAAGAGAGCCGCAATTTTTTGAATCCCTTCAAAAACGGCACGTTCCTTCTTATCGTTGACATCATAGCTGATTATCTTGACCCCAGAAAGCAACTCCATGATAAGTGAGGCCGTGACAATTGGCGAAATACCAAGCTCCATAAGCGTCCCCTTGTTGCTAGCCAGCACCACACGCATCCAGTAAAAAGGGTCACTCGTTTGGCCGGGCCGGGCACCAAATACGGGCACTTGGCAGCAAATTAAAAAGATAAAAAGTGCAGCAGCTGTCCACATAATCCGTTCCTTAATTGGCGGAATACGTTGCGGACGAGAAACTTCGGGGAGGAGCGCCAAAATAGGCTGCGCCATCATCATATAGTTCGTCATCTCCACAATGATACTTAATCCTATTCTTATGATTATTCCTTCAATTTTTTATCGTGTATTTGGGTGTGTTCAGCTGGCGCCCGCCTTCAGGGAAAGCAACCGAATCCCTCGCGTTCCTCGTCGTCGTTGCGGCCACACATAAAAAAAAAAAAAAAGAAAGAAAAAAAAAAGGAAAGAAATGATTGAAGCGTAGGACGCAGAGCGCTCAAAAATAGAAACTCGCTTTCAGGAAGAAAGACGGAAAAAAAATAAAAGGCAGGCACATCTCGGCCCACACGAAGATCGAATAAAGACCCCAATCAGCAAAAAAAAAAATCCTGCAGTAAATGCATGCCGCACCAAAAAGACCGATAAATAGAAATAAATAAATAAATAAATAAGTAAATAACAACGAAAAAAAAAAAAAAAGGAAATACGCCTCCCTGCACCGTATCCTACCACTCCCTCACAGGCCAACCAGAAAGACACACGCACACAAACAGGGAATTTTTTTTTCCTTGCATTACGCCGCGGTGGATTACTGCTTCAGTCCCCTCCAGCAGCGGCTGTTGGTTGCGTGTCGGGTGCGCGCTCGTAGATGGAGGCGCTGCATGCACCCAGAGGGGAGAAAAAGAAGCAGACAAGCATCTATACACATGTATACATTTAAAACACACACACACACACCGGTACTTCCCTATTCTCCCCCCTACTGGGACGGGTGGGTGGAGGCGGTGAAAAGGGAACGTGCCGCATCTCTCGCACAATCACACGAACCAACCGTAAAACAATAAATAAATAAAAAATGAATGAAAGAATGAAAACAAAATAAATAATAATAAAAAAATACAAAAATCCTCACCACTCGCGTTGAAACAAAAAAAAATGTAAATGTTTAGGCAAAAAAAAAAAAAAGGCAAAAATAAATACACTTTTCTCTCTCTCTCTCCTCCTCATTGTGCGCGCGTGTACGTGCGTTGCAGTCGGGCATTCGAAAGGGGCCCCATGCATGAATGCCCCCACCTCCACCCCCACAAACAGTCACCACTCCGAATGTGTGTGGGCGGGGCGGGGCGGGGGGGGGGGGGAAGCAAACAAAACAAAAGTCTTAGAATCCACGGCCACAAAAACAAAAACAAAAAAAAAAAGACACAATTTTGTTCTGCAGAAAATAATAATAAATGGGGCAAAATAAATGTGATCCCGCATGCAAAAAACAATATATACGCCTGCAATCGACAGAAGCTCATAAAAATATAAATAAATAAAAAACGGCTGCGAAGAGGAGGAAAAAGGAAGAAGAACCGCGAAATAATAAAAATAAAAATAATAAAAATATATTTAATCAAAGAAACCCCCCTCCCTCCCGTTTGTGTTCCCTTTTATCCCCAACCCCCTTTTTCTTGCATGACGTTTACAAATCATTCTGTTGTTGCCGTCTCATTTCACATTCCTTGCGATTGCCCCTCCCATTCTTCTTCCTTCTCACCCCCTTTCTACACTGTGGAGGGTGTGCCATAACGGTCTAAAAGAAAAGAACGGCAACAGAGGAAAAAAGGGAAAAAA